ACGGGGAGTGCCAGGCCTGGTTCAACCGATCCCCCTAAGCAGTCAGACTGTACTGCAAATAGGAGAGTCTATGATGCGCTCCAAGCGGTAGCGTCAGAGCGAGACTTCCCTCCTGCCCCAGGCTTGATGTGGGACCTGCATCTGGAAACCACAGTCCTGGTCTCTGTGAGCCAGGACTTTCCCCCGCTGGGGGTGGACCGATTATCTAGGTGGAAGTTGCCACAGTCGGCGGGTAATCTTTGACCTTTGTGGGCGATGCAATGAGGTAAGTCCTTCAGGGCAGGCCTGGTAGTGGGTAGATAAGTGCTGGTGTAGTTGGGGTGCCCGGAAGGGGTCTGCTCCTCTTTGGCAGCAGGCTTTTCGGCTTCGTAGTCCTCATATCAGATATAGCGGACTTCTTGCGATCCTGGAGCTTCATCCAGAAATGTTGTAAAATTTCCTCAAGCCGCAGTAGGATATTTGCCATAGAGCTGTGTTGGGCCAGGCGCCATTTTGGTTAGTTGTATCCCCCACCGGTCCAGATGGGGGAGGTAGAAGCAGAGTCGATCAGCCTGTCAGGTTTGCCAGTGGGGAAAATCGGCCGCCTTTCCCCTGCTTAGTTGTCCGCAGGTCTTAACGTGTCACCACGGGCACCCAGCACCGATAATTCTCGTAAAAGGTGTCTGTGGGGTCATTGCTGCTTCCCAGGTGTAGCTGGCTTAGATTTGTGGTGATTGTGGTAGAGCATCCGGGATTATGCTCCTAAAATCATCTAGCTGAGCGGGAGCTTTCACAGCACACGTCTGATCAGCTTTGGGCTCTGGCTCAGCCCCCAGTTGTCAATCTTTTTATGTGCATAAATGTGTACTCTGCTGCTTTCCACCGCCTGGACCTTCTGTATATTGCTACATTAAAACTGGTGTTTTGGACCTCTTACTGATAGGTTACTGTAATCAAACTATTTACTTTTATCTATTTACTTTCCCTAATATGCACTAACCGTTTCTCACTATAAGTAGTTTTTTTACTTGAATCATAAATAAAGATCTCTCAATTTTCTATCAAAGCTTTATTCTTGATTTTGTCTCATACTTGATTGCAATTTAGCAAGTGCATCCGTGAACCTCTGAAGATAAAGTCTCCAGAACTGAGCACAGTATACTAGATGGGCTCTTACGAGCAACCCATGGAGTGCCATACGTGTGATTTACATAAAGGTCAGATCATATTTAGAGTAAATTATTACAGTGATTCAGATAATTCTATTGGATTCACAATGTACACTATACAACACTTAGGAGCTGCTAACCACCTCCCCATTGGATAAAGTGAAATAGATCTTTTGTTCTTCAGAATCCGAGTGGAACGTTTTCTTGTTAAAAAAATCTGCAATAGGAATGTTCTTCTATACACATTCGCACTTGCTTACCTTAATCTATTGCTTAATTAAACTGTTATGTGCCTACAGAGAAACAGCATACCCTCTGTAATGTAAACACATTGGCAATAAACTTAAGAGAAAGAAAAAAAGAAAAAAAAGAAAGAAAGAAAGAAAACAATACTTCAAGAGTTAAAAGTCCTTGAACCCAAAATATTAAAACACAATGAGAACATCTGGGAAGAGCTGTTATTGCAACCTAACAAGAATTGTTCCTGGAAAAGGCGATGATTAATTACGGCACTTTACAAAGGTTTTGCTAAACAAGCTTTGTGTTTCACGGTAAAAATACACACAACTTTCACTTGGATCCTGATGAATTCCATTTTAACCCTCTTCTGCTGTAAGTTGTCAGCTTTTGTCCCCTTTTCTATTAATGTGTCTGTGCTTGCAGATACTGTATCTGTTCTATCTTACATCCTTGTAGCAAGGTTGGAACTATTGACCTCTCTTTTTGGGCTTCTTAGAAATTGGTCTCCTTAAAACTGTAAATATGACTTGAGTTTTCTTCATTTTTCATGATGGTGTTATGGCCAGGAAGTATCCTGGACTAATGCAACATGGCATATTATTGAGTGAACCCATACCGCCACCATTCTTCCTTCCTCTCAGCCATGCTCATCTCCTCATAGAATAATTGTCACTTGTTAGTGACCTGCAGAACATACACAGTTGATGTCAGTACTGTATACTGCCTTTCACTCCAACTTGTTAAGTTAAAGGGACACCATAGACATCCACACCACTTTATCTCATTGAAGTGGACTGGGTGCAGTGTCCCTGTCCCCTTAGCCCTGCACGCTAAAACATAACAGTTTCAGAGAACTGCAATGTTTACATTTCAAGGTTAAAACTACTTCTGGTGGCTGCCTACCAGAGGCGCTATCTGCAGTTTCAAGGGGTTAAACTCCTTTTATGCTGGACATTCTCGCACTTTGCTTGAGGAGGTCCAGCATCACAATTCAATGCTTTCCTATGGAGAATACCTAATGCGTGTGAAGCGCTCACCGCACATGAGCATTAGGTTCCCCCATTGGCTGACATTGGGGGAGGAGAGCTTTCATTAACATGGGGGGCTGCAGGCACAGAGAGGCACTAAAATTTTAGGAACACAGCTTTTTGTTCCTAACACTATAGTGTTTCCTTAATGTATGTGATTATATTTCATTTTTAATAAACTTTTGACTTACACTCAAACCTTTTTAAGCATTTGAAACAGAGGTGGACTTAACTAATTTTTAAGATTTAAATAATACAGGCCCAGGAGCAAGCTTTGCAGGGTACAGCAGCCCACTTTATTAAGTGATCATCCATTCATTGTTATATGTGTAAGAAACATTGGACAATGTTCTGCTCATGTTACACAATAGTGGCTGTATCCTTATGGCATCTAATTCCAAAGATTGCACTGCATTTGACAATCTAAAGATTCCAGATTTCAAAGACCATGGACTTTGGTGCAGTGCCATCTGTGTGCGTGCATTGACTCTGATTTGCATATATTTGCATATGTGGGAAATTCAGGCAGAATACTCTGGAAAATAGGTTTACCTGATGATCCAATGTGTGACAGTTAGGTATTCTTATGTATTTTAGTGTTTGTTTAATGTTTTATTATGTGTTTATGTTTTATGTAATGTTTTTAATACCTCACAATCAGTTAAATGTGGCACTGTTCAACTTTAGGAGCCCAGTGACAGAGTCTTTGATAATGTCTTCTCTCTGGATTTTGCTCCTTGGTGTTTGAGATCAGCTACAGAGTCGTAAGTGTTTGTTATTTTACTAAGGATCAGGATAAAGTTACTATACTGAGTAATTAAATTTGCTACAGTTACATCAACTGCGTAAAGTTTGATTTACCACAATAACGCACTAATCGTGTACCTGATGTGTGAATATGAGGCAGTAGTTAGAGTCTATTAAGCACCCTATGTGAACAGAGGCAACTTGTCACTATGTATTTCTAAGAAGACCATTATTATTCACCTGTTACATGCACCAATTAGTCTAATAAATGTAAGTAATGCTCCACTAGAACTAGTGGCCCCATATGGTTCTAATGCCTCGTTTCCACTGAGCGGTATGGTTCGGGTCGGTACGGTTCGGAAGGGTTAGAATGGTCCAGCCTATTCAGGTGAGCGTTTCCACTGCAAGTCGGACTGCCAGGGGGCATGCAGGGTTTAGACCAAATGCCTAGCATGTCATTTGTTGTGAGCATTGACATTTTCCTGTCTGCCAATCAATGGATTGTATAGTGTGACGCCAGTAGCTCCGCCCTAATTGTACCATACCATTTCCTAGGGATCTACATCTGAAGGGGGCCCAGGAATTGTGAGGTTTAATTCGGTTGTATTGGCCACTTTCATAATGGAAACACTCAAAATAGCGTGCCAGACCGTACTGACCCGAACCATACCACTCACTGGAAACGAGGCATAACCTAGTGCACAAAATATTGACACACTAATCTCTTCTACCAATCTACCATTAACATCTTCTAGCAACAACTCCACTCTGAGACAAACAATATAAATGTATATTGTACTACATCCCTAAAACCCACGTGGCTCGGAGCCTATAGACACTTCAAAAATAGCTAATATAACTCATTGCAACTATTCCTCTAGTAGCACAAGCCTGTGAAGTATTTAGTAGATAAAGTAAATTAGATAAGTGGTTTGCTAAATTTGGTTGCCATGCCCTTTCAGGGGTTCCATAATGGTTGGAACAAGCACATCATAATTATCAGTGCTAAGACAAATGCCCACATTGCATTGCAAAGCATAGTCCTTTTCACATTAGGAAGAATATAAAGAATGTGTTCTGCATTGATATGTATTGATATATATTACATGGATACTGAGCTAACAATTTATATTAAGAATTGGTCACCAAGGTAATGTCATGTTCAGAATTTGGATCCCTATAAAAAAAAATAAGAGCCACTGAATTAAATAAAGAACTTTGACAGGTAAAAGCAGCAGCTACAGCTTGTATGTGTACTTACTTGTTAGAAAGAATAAATAGAAGATTTTGATCTTTATTTGCATGAAGTTTACCTGAATTATATCGCCTTTCCTTGTTTATGAAGAAATCCAAAATGATCTCTTCGCAAACATGAACCTTGAACAGTGGCATATGGTAAGTGCAGGAATTAGCCATAACATAAATTATCAATTGTACTATTCCCATATCTCTACAGGACTCAGGCATGTCTGTTTAATTAACACACTTCACACGTCTACAAAATTTCAGCACACATCATAGGACATGTGCACTGCCACTGGGAGCAATATTTACAGCGACAGTGTGATAGAATTGGGTCTGAATCTCATCAAAAAGAGTGCTAGGGGAAAGCATTCAGTCCAGGGCTTCACTGTGTCTTGCATGGCTTTTGCAATCTTGTTCTTTAAGCTGCCATTTGCCCTTTTTACTTTCCCACTACTCTCGGGGTGATAGGGGGTGTGGAAGGCCTGACTGATCCCTAAGGCTTTCATAATTTCTTGCATTATTTCCCCAGTGAAATGGCTACCTCTGTCACTTTCAATCAATTCAGGTACGCCATATCTACATACCAGTTCCTTCAGAACCATGCCTGGAATAAGTATATCTTGTTCCCTGGGTAACCATGCCTGGAATAAGTATATCTTGTTCCTGGGTAACCATGCCTGGGATAAGTATATCTTGTTCCTTGGATAACCATGCCTGGAATAAGTATATCTTGTTCCCTGGGTAGCCATGCCTGGAATAAGTATATCTTGTTCCTTGGATAACCATGCCTGGAATAAGTATATCTTGTTCCCTGGGTAGCCATGCCTGGAATAAGTATATCTTGTTCCTGGGTAACCATGCCTGGGATAAGTATATCTTGTTCCTTGGATAACCATGCCTGGAATAAGTATATCTTGTTCCCTGGGTAGCCATGCCTGGAATAAGTATATCTTGTTCCCTGGGTAACCATGCCTGGAATAAGTATATCTTGTTCCCTGGGTAGCCATGCCTGGAATACGTATATCTTGTTCCTTGGGTAACCATGCCTGGAATACGTATATCTTGTTCCTTGGGTAACCATGCCTGGAATAAGTATATCTTGTTCCTTGGGTAACCATGCCTGGAATAAGTATATCTTGTTCCTTGGGTAACCATGCCTGGAATAAGTATATCTTGTTCCTTGGGTAACCATGCCTGGAATAAGTATATCTTGTTTCTTGGATGCCTGGAATAAGTATATCTTGTTCCCTGGATAACCATGCCTGGAATAAGTATATCTTGTTCCTTGGGTAACCATGCCTGGAATAAGTATATCTTGTTCCTTGGGTAACCATGCCTGGAATAAGTATATCTTTTTCCTTTGGTAACCATGCCTGGAATACGTATATCTTGTTCCCTGGGTAACCATGCCTGGAATAAGTATATCTTGTTCCTTGGGTAACCATGCCTGGAATAAGTATATCTTGTTCCTTTGGTAACCATGCCTGGAATACGTATATCTTGTTCCCTGGTTAACCATGCCTGGAATAAGTATATCTTGTTTCTTGGGTAACCATGCCTGGAATAAGTATATCTTGTTCCCTGGGTAACCATGCCTGGAATAAGTATATCTTGTTCCCTGGGTAGCCATGCCTGGAATAAGTATATCTTGTTCCCTGGGTAGCCATGCCTGGAATAAGTATATCTTTTTCCCTGGGTAGCCACGCCTGGAATACGTATATCTTGTTCCTTGGGTAACCATGCCTGGAATAAGTATATCTTGTTCCTTGGGTAACCATGCCTGGAATAAGTATATCTTGTTCCTTGGATTACCATGCCTGGAATAAGTATATCTTGTTCCTTGGGTAACCATGCCTGGAATACGTATATCTTGTTCCATCTGCACTGGCAATGGTGCACATAGCAAGCAAAAAGACCACACAATATGGGAGTATGGATGAAAACAAAAATGGTTACTTCAGGATAATAACATAATTCACCTCAAAACATAATTAAAAATATATATAAGTAAAATTAATTTAAATTAACCGTAAAATAACCGTGCTCTATTGATGTGCCTGTTAAGTAGGACAGTTTCTTTTGATTTAAATATCAAAAGTAATTTACACTCTCTCTTATTCTTTATATATGTTGAGCTCTCACCACACCCTTTCTGATACATTTTCGGGGCCTTTCTGTCTGTCTGTTTTTATCTGTCTCTATCTACAATATTTATTTCTGTCTGCTCATTTCTATGTCTTTCTGTCTACGAACAGAACTCCACAAATAAAATGACGTGCTTTGCAATAGGTGCTTTTTGTGATGCATTCCTTTAAAAGCATGTGTATTGAAATAAATAACTAAAGCTTTTATCTAAATCTAACAAGCTAAAAAAAAAAAAAAAATCTTATACACAAACTCAACATAACCTGCAAACACGTATTTTACGATAAGACCAATTTCTTACTATGTTTACTAAAAGGGTGTCATTTTGTGGCATGTTTACAATATGAGAGACTTTGAGCTAACATTAAGCTTATGAAAAGCCACTTCCATATCTTTCATTCCATATGCCACATGCCGCTTAATCTGTGTCACACAACTGGGCTAACTTTATTTGTAGCTGGTAATTTTAGCTTATCTCCTGCAAAGTAATTGATGGTAGCTTTGTCACCCTGTTCAAGGAAAGTGGTCATTAATTAGCAGTTAAATCAATGTTTAGTAACTCTAATTACTTTCTTTAGGCTCACACTTTGGTTAAAACAGAATCAGACTGAAAATATTAACACTGACATGTCCACTTTATTTTATAAAGTATTAATAATCTAGAATTAAATGTATTCAATAAATGATTGTGTAAGCATTTAACCTCTATTTCACCGTTTTGGATGCAGTAAAAACCACGTTTTGAAAGTAAATTCTGTACTTTCTTGTATTTAGTAATCAATACAGCAAAAAATATGCAACTGAATATTTAAACTGATACAAAAAATCTTTTTCCGAAAATTATTTCTTGTATATATTTATTATGCATGGGGAGAAAGGCTGGGGGCAGGGGGGAGGAGGGGAGGGGGGAGGTTTCCAGGAACAAATGTGTTGCTGTATTTTTTAACTACAAAATGAAAAATCTATTATTGCTAATAAACTACTATTACTAATTAAAGGGGAATCTGAGTGTCATGTTAATTGCTAATACATTTAAATAAAAAATAAACATCCATACAAAAAATGAGAAAATGAGGAAAGATAACCGCAATAACTAAAATAATATAACACAACTTTATACCTAATGCACTCACATAGCTGAAGTACCGTTATGCTACTTACAGGAAAGGGGAGACTAAAAGCACTATTTAAAAACGTGCAGAGGGGAAAGGGGTTAATGCTAAGGTTAGACAATCACCGCACCTTTTAAAGGAACACTAAACTAAACCCTCCCCCCCCATGATCCTATCATTTTAACCCTTCAATGTAAAATATTGCTATTTTGCGTAAACAGCGATTTTCATATTGATGATTAAATTCACTACTAGTGACTACCTTTCTGATATCCACTAGAGGTGCTTCTACCTCCAGAACCGATTCAAATCACTGATGATGTCATGCACTGCACCAAGGGTGAGATCAGTTTAGTTTAGAATTGTTTTACTTTTTAAGTTTTATTAATAACTTTGGGTGCTAATGTAAGTTTTTTGTGTGAATGAATTTCCCTTTTTTTAATGAGAATTTTGTAAAGGTACATACATATTCATATATGGCTGCGACCCCTGCGACCACGGTATGTACGCCACTGCTTACAGATACATATACTTAAAGGACCACTATAGGCACCCAGACCATTTCAGCTTTTTTTTTTTTTTATTAGTGATATTGCAGAAGGTCTTGATGGTAAGGTATGTCTTTTTGCTGATGATACTAAGATATGTAACAGGGTTGATGTTCCAGGAGGGATAAGCCAAATGACAAATGATTTAGGTAAACTAGAAAAATGGTCAGAATTGTGGCAACTGACATTTAATGTGGATAAGTGCAAGATAATGCATCTTGGACGTAAAAACCCAAGGGCAGAGTACAGAATATTTGATAGAGTCCTAACCTCAACATATGAGGAAAGGGATTTAGGGGTGATTATTTCTGATGACTTAAAGGTAGGCAGACAATGTAATAGAGCAGCAGGAAATGCTAGCAGAATGCTTGGTTGTATAGGGAGAGGTATTAGCAGTAGAAAGAGGGAAGTGCTCATGCCATTGTACAGAACACTGGTGAGACCTCACTTGGAGTATTGTACACAGTACTGGAGACCGTATCTTCAGAAGGATATTGATACCTTAGAGAGGGTTCAGAGAAGGGCTACTAAACTGGTTCATGGATTGCGGGATAAAACTTACCAGGAAAGGTTAAAGGATCTTAACATGTATAGCTTGGAGGAAAGACGAGACAGGGGGGATATGATAGAAACATTTAAATATATAAAGGGACTACCACAAACAAGAGGACATAGTCTTAAATTAGAGGGACAACGGTTTAAAAATAATATCAGGAAGTATTACTTTACTGAGAGGGTAGTGGATGCATGGAATAGCCTTCCAGCTGAAGTGGTAAAGGTTAACACAGTAAAGGAGTTTAAGCATGCGTGGGATAGGCATAAGGCTATCCTAACTATAAGATAAGACTAGGGACTAATGAAAGTATTTAGAAAATTGGGCAGACTAGATGGGCCGAATGGTTCTTATCTGCCGTCACATTCTATGTTTCTATGTTTCTATGGTCTGGGTGCCAGGTCCATCTAGGATTAACCCTTTTTTTTATAAACATAGCAGTTTCAGAGAAACTGCTATGTTTATAATATGGTTAATCCAGCCTCTAGTGGCTGTCTCTTGACAGCCGCTAGAGGCGCTTGCGTGCTTCTCACTGTGAAAATCACAGTGAGAAGACACCAGCGTCCATAGGAAAGCATGGTAAATGCTTTCCTATGAACTGGCTGAATGTGCGCGCGGCTCCTGCCGCACATGCGCATTCAGCCGATGACGTTGCTATGGAGGAGGAGGAGAGCTCCCCGCCCGGCGCTGGAGAAAGGTAAGATTTTAACCCCTTCCTCTCCCCAGAGCCCGGCGGGAGGGGGACCCTGAGGGTGGGGGCACCCTCAGGGCACTATAGTGCCAGGAAAAAAAGTATGTTTTCCTGGCACTATAGTGGTCCTTTAAAGGACCACTATAGGCACTCAGATCACTTTAGCTCATTGAAGTGGTCTGGGTACAAGGTCCCTCTAGATTTCACCCTGCAGCTGAAAACATAGCAGTTTCAGAGAAACTGCTATGTTTCACTGAGAGTTAATCCAGCCTCTAGTAGCTGTCTCACTGACAGCCGCTAGAGGCGCTTCCGCGATTCTCACTGTGAAAACCACAGTGAGAAGACACTGGACATCCATAGGAAATGCTTTCCTATGAGCGGTTTGAATGCGCATGCGCATTCGGAGCTGAGAGACGGATCGGGGCGGAGAGATCCCCAGCGCCAAAAGAGCCCGGCGCTGGAGAAAGGTAAGTGCCGAAGGGGTTTTGACCACACACACACACACAAACACACACACTCTCACAAATAGACGCATACACACTGGCTAACTGACACACACATTTACTGACAAACACACACTCAGTGACAGACATACATACACACTCAGTGACAGACACACATACACACTCACTTACAAAACATACACTCTCACTGACAAACACACAATCACCAGCAGACACCAAACAGACTCACTAACAGATAAACACTAACAGACACACACAAACTAACACGCTCAGTAACAGACACACACACTAACACACACACACTGACCCTCACTAGCAGACACACACAAACTAACACACAACTAAAACACACAGTAGCACACACACACAAAAACTAACACACTCACTGACACACTAGCAGACACACACTCAATAACAGACACACACAAACACACAACACACTCAGTAACAGACACACACACACACACTGACACACAAAAATTAACATACTCACACCTATACACACACACACTCATATATATTTTTTTTAAATTGCATCCCCCAGCCTCCATACCTTTGGGAGTGCTGAGGGAATTCCCTGGGGTCCAGTAGTGCTGCTGGGCGGCCAGTCACTGCGGGCGCGCGAGGGAGCATTCTTCTCTGAGCGCTCTCTGCCCAGCTCCCTCATAATATTCCAGCTCCGGCATCAGTGCAGTGCACCCTTTGAGAGCACGGCCAGCCTCGGGGGGCCCTGTCACAGCTGCGACCCCTGCGACCGCAGTATGTACGCCAGTTGCTATGGCTGGGTGTGAGTCAATGATCTAACCACTATAGTGGAGGCGGTGAGTTGTGCCTGCCGGACCCCAGGTATGGAGTCAAACCATTCTAAAAAGCTTTGACTACTGTGGCACCATAACCACTACAGCGTAACATAGTAGTTATGGTACTTGGTGAAACAGCTATTTTGTCACTCTCCCGGCAGTCCTTTGATGACTGAAAATGTTTGTTTATGGAGAGAATGTATATGGTAAAGTGCCGGCTTATGGCACTTTAAGTCGTCAACACACACTCTTTAGTAAAAAAACTTTGTGATTACAATACAATGATCATTATTAGTAGCCATATAGGAGACATGTACTGTGCTTAACCTATGGCTACCTCTGAGAACTAATAAAATCGATTCTTTCACTAAGTGATATAAAATAATAAATTATGTGTCAATAAAAATGTCTGTGATTTAATTATTATCTTTGCTCTTGGTTAAGGCTTGAGTCTGTGCTTTAACATAAGGACAGTTCAGCTGTAAAGTAAATTTGACATCATTTGTAAAAGTGTGACTAACCATAGTAACAACAATGTCTGAATAGACATTACAGGAAATATTTAATGTAAACCTAGTTTAATTAAAGTGTATGAAAAACATGTTAAAACTGATGGCAAACAAAGAAATGTGCTTCTGTCGTCATCAACATAACTTTTTGAGTTTTATGGAAATTAGAGTAAAGGAGGTCAGTAACATCTATGACACAATCCCACGCAAGTAGAATACAATTTAAGTGATAGTCCTTCCTCTGCCAAAAAAACTATTACGCTATTACAGATATAGAGCAAAAAAGAAAAAGAACTTTCTAACATAGAAAGAAAATACACCATTAACTCAAAAAAGTAAAATAAGATTTGAACTTCATGTTATTAACAATGATTGACTCATCATAATGCATTCCATAGTGGGCTTCACATCATATGATTTAGCCAGTTAAGAGAATAATGAAACTGAATGATGGAACCCTGGTGTTTTTTTAAATTTTAAATTTTTTTTTAATAATATTTCAAAGATATATCAAAACAATCTCTTACAGGTGACAGTCAAGCGTGCTCGATAACAATAGCATTGTGTCAATAAAAAGATGACATGAAATGGAGATTAGTCTCTGGTTTCCTGTGTCCTGTAACTATCTGTCTCTTTTGCAATACACTCTGTGGGATCTTTACAATTGTATATGAGAACCCAACAGTAACTCCAATAAGCTTCATGTAGACACACCCGAAGGTTAGTTTGCATTGCCGTATTATTAAGTGCATTATGAGCAATACCTTCTCCTACAACATGATTAAAACAATGAAGGTTTCCCCTGTAATGCTTTATTAGCATTCTTTGGCAAGCGTCATTGCAGTGTGGCATGACCTGGTGTATCACTATTAATACCAGCACCTCCGCATCGATGATATTCTTTCGGGTGTTAGTGAATGCCTGGTGTGCAACAGTTTGTTTTTTGTGCTTTTGATCTTGACTGGTTATTTTATGGTTCAAATTTATATTCTACCACACCAGACTACTGTATAAATATTGTCCTCCGGTCATCGAGTCACAGCTAGTTATTTTGTTCACGCTTTGCCTTCATGCTGGTTATGTTTTTTTCACTTCTTCGAAGGCATTTTACAAAGCCCAGCCATTGTAAGAACCATCAGAACCTTTTTCTTACTAGCATGCAAGTTCTAATTCACATTCTGCTATAAAGGTGTCCAAGGGGCCCCTTGACACCATGAGGTGTGATTGGGAAGATAAAAAAATGTCTCCCTAAACCAGACTACATTAACAGTGACATTGCTGGGAGAATGTGATTTCAAATAATTTTCTCACAGCGCACACAGGAAGCTGCTTAGGCAAGGCAAAAAACAGGAATCTCATCCTATTCCCCACTAAACCCTAGAATAACAGACCCTCTTGCATGCAAAAGCTGTGCAGATAGGTGACAGAGTTAAGTTTTTGCAAGCCCTCCCCTTTTACCCTGTGCATCTTATTAAGAAACCTCCGTGCTGGAGCCACGATGGTGCTTGCATATGCACATGCGATTGCCGCGTGCAGCACAACTTATTGAAAAAGATGGAACGCGCTAGCCGGAAATGCAAGAAAAGCTCCCTGGTTGTCACTCACGTCTTTATGCCCCCAATTATAAAAGTGCCAATTAAAAAATCTGCCCCTATATAAACTGTCAGAAATTTGACAAACACATAAAGCAAGTGTTCTGGAGTGTTCCATTAAATTTAGCCCATGGTATCTGGACTCTGCACAATATATATATGTATATATATATATATATATATATATATAATTACAATTGGTATTCTTTACCCCGATTAAAAAATAAATCCAATTTAATTAACCTATACATTAAGGCAGGCTATACAGCTAGTCACAGCACCCGTAGAAATTGTAACAATTTATTTAAAAGAATAACTGTGTCTACAACATTCCATATAAGGGAATCGTGCTTTCAAAGCCTAAAGACGAGGACGGCTTTGTATATGAAACTACAACTCCATATTGTGCCCACTTCACTCTGACTAAGGATCTAGGGAATTGTAAATTAGTTTATAGGTACCTATTGGCTTTTATTCTTATTATTATCATTGCCATTTATATAGCGCCAACAGATTCCGCAGCACTCGTTGCCAATAATAGGAAGTGTAGAGTGGTACGATAGTCATGTATATATTCCTAGCCTTCCCAATTCTGAGGAGATAGTTCAAAACAAAAATAAATATATTTAGTGTATCAGCAGTTAAATTAGAATTCCAAGTCTAAGCACGCAAACCGATGTAGAGAATAAGGTGCTTCTAGAGACAATTGCTTTGATTCTCATGCAACTCAGACATGTTTTGATGGCTCAATTCCAGATTTCACAGCTATTTAAAAGTGTTCTTGTATGGCTGATTCTTGTCTTCAATTCAGCACAACTTAATTCATTTCCCTCTTCCTCTATATAAACACCCTTTTAACCCCTCCCTTCATTTTCTTGATTTGCATCACTAGGGAGACGGAATTCAAGAAAGAAACTTGCAGTCTCTTCCTGAGTGGAGGGGGCTGGGGGCTTGAGGTGGGGGGAATGTGGGGGGGGTAAACTGGTGTCCCCTTGTCCTAGGCTTCCATTATCTCTGTGGTGCGAGCTGTGACTACTTTTTTCATTATAGGCTTACTCAATAGGAATTTAAATGCTTTGTGATTGTTTTTTAGAGAATGAAGAATTCTGCATTCTATAGAAAGCTATAACAGCCCCACTGGAAAGACAAATGAATATATGAATACATCTGCAGGCAGTACAAATGTGAGAATTGAAGTTTGTACTTTGCAAACCCATATAAACTAAGAGTTAGGGGGAAATAATCATGTTTCCAGGTCTCTGTATCATTCTTTAAAATGCTGTGTGTTTAAAATTATTATCTCGCTGGAGTGTACGGGTTAATGTTTAGTGTAATGAAAGGGTTAAGGGCTGGGTGAGATTTGTGGGAACTACATTTCTTGTGGGGCAACTGTTGTTTAGGAAACTAACTCCCATTACTCTAATGCAGACTGGGCCACGGATGTCCTGATTCCTGAATTGTACTGGGCAAGCTGTGGTTACTGAGCATTACTGAAGGAGTTTTCTGAGTATAAAATATTACTGAAATGCTACCGAGGTCGTGCTGACATTGTTATAATCTCCTGCATCAGTTACTGTAACTCTCAGCTACGTAGTCTCTCCAGAACCCATAATGCCTCTCTATAGAATTAATGTTTCGGCCTGGCGTATTTTCCTTTCTCATCACTTCTCTCACACCTCGCCTCTTTGCCAATCATTACATTGGCTTCCTGTTCTCTTTAGGATTCAG